TCTTGGAAATCGCCATCCGAGGTGTGCACTACCCAATGCTTATTTGAGCGTGTGGATCCTAATGTAATCATCATCATCATCAGCAGCCATGATCAATCCACTGCTGAGTGAAGGCCTCCCCAGGCCGTTTCCATCCCTCGTGGTTCTTCGATGCAACAACCTGCACACGAGCCAATTTCACCTGTCATAAAATTGAAATTCACACGACGCTTACTATGTTCATAATAAAAAAAAATAATACCTGCACTTCGAAGGCAGTCACTTACACAGGTTGAGAGAAAAGTCACACGGACACGCTGTTGCGACTGCAGTGCCCTTGGCGGATGGGTCCGATGCATCATCGGGGCACGCAATCGCTGCCGCCTTCACGTGTCCCTCGCGTGCCCGAGAACAAGCGGCGCGCTGCATCAACGCGCCGCACGCACGCTCACGTCGAGTCGACGTGGGGCAAACAAAGACGACTATCCCCCCCCCCCCCCCCGTGTAGCCTGTGACAGACTGTTGGGGCAAGTGCTGTTAGCGAGCAGCACTGATGAAGGCCGGCACTGCGGCACACAACGAGGGTGTGGGTGGCCAGGCACCACGCCCGGCCGCCTTTGCCTCCCCAGTGGCGATGTTTACCACACGCCGCACCAGGTACTCATTTGAGGCTGAGTCGACCTAAGGGAGGCGCAGACCGGCTCAGATCATCATCGCTGGTGTTGGCCGTGAGCGGGGAATCGAACTAGTGCGCTAACCGCTGCACTACTGCACGTGTGCGCGTGCTGTCGCTTGAACGCACGCCAGGGCTAACATCAGGTTTGTGTCGGACCACTTTCCTGGAAGACCATTGAGATCGGTCAACAGGAAGCTCTCGGAGCATTACATTCACCACGGGATACGGTGTCGCTTGTTTTCTAAGGGGCACCTGGGAGACGGCACAGGGGAGGGAGCGTTGTTATTCATTTTTTTCTTGACGGCAGTTAACTATTCCCATTGAGGATTTGGACTGTGACTGCAAACCACAATATATTTGAATGCCTACGACACAGCAGACAGTGCATGCACTGGCACATTAATTGTACGTCTAAATGTTAAGCAATCTGCCTATATCTCGGTGGCACATGATGTGAATGTGTGTAATCTTTTTTGCCGAGTGACTGAGCCAAATAGCGCTTAAAGACAAATGAACAATTTAACATGATGACAAAGTTGCTTCACTGTACAGGACTCGAATTTGTACCGAATAAACCCATGTGATATTATACAATACGTGCTGCGACCCAGAGCAGTCACCAGTTAGATTCCATCTCCAGGCGCGGTGGCTGAACCAGTGGGGTAAGTTTAATAAAATTCTAAGAATAGGTTTTACCCTTTCTGGCAGGTGTTTAGATGTTAAAACCCCAGACAGAAACCTTTTTTCAAGGAATGATGTCTCCATTAACCACATATACTTGTGGTGAACATGCAACGAAAAAACATGCTCTGGTAGTATATGTTGCATGTCTTTGAAACTGATTGGTCCACACCAGAGACAGCTTTCTTTAGAGCCTAGTCTCAAACAGTGTTAGACCAGAGGACCCTAAAAGGCTGGGTCCGATGCATCTTCGGGGCACGCAAGGGAGGTCCCATGATGTAGCTGCTCACCCCGAGCTCTCATTACTCTGATAGTGGCATTGTCTTTGTGCTGTTCGCCTTTTGGCGTCCTCTGGTCTAACACCGTTTGAGACTAGGCTTTAAAGAAAGCTGTCTCTAGTGCGGACCAGTCAGTTTCAAAGACAATGCAACATATACTACCAGAGCATGTGTTTTAGTTGCATGTTCACCACAAGTACATGTGGTTAATGTAGACATGATTCTGTTTGGTGTTTTAACATCTTAACACTTGTTTTATTGCCAGAAAGGTTAAAAACTATTCTTATATTTTGATACTGGCAAGGGAGGTCCCGTGATGTTCCTGAAAATCTCTCCGCCTTTGTCCAGCGCAGCGGTGTTAATGGTTACAGCGCAGACCTGGAAGAATTTGGCCAGCGTGAAAAAATACACCGAGACTAAATTTCTAAAGTGAGCTTTATGTATTTATGTTGGCCTTCTTTCGCACCGTACGTAGTCAACGGTGCGAATCGGAGGTGTGGTGGGAAGCACAACAAACTAAACGTAAAAAAGCAGCTCTGACGAAATTAGTTTTCAGTCGAGATTTGCAAGTGCATAGCTCCGGTGGCTTCCTAATATCGCAAGGGAGAGATCGTTGCACACGGCCTTCAGAAGCGCATCTGATAACCGCGCGATGCGGTGACCGCCTTCGTTGGATGGTTAGCCTAAAGCCGCTGCTGCTGCGAGGACGACCGGAGTTTGCGTGACGATGGTTTTATGCTCGTCGAGCTCTAGAGGGCCCTTCCACCAGCAGTGGCGTGGAGCCAACGATTGCAGGACTGCACCTTTGCCTCTTCGACTGCTTGCGCTGGTGTAAACAGAGAGGGACTGAATGTGCTTTGAAAGTGAATTCCGAGTTTTTCGAGGAATTTTGTTACCCAATGACCGTTACTTGAGAGGACTGTTTTGGGGGTATATATATATTTGTTTGCATCAAGGAAGCACAGAGACAGCCCAGATTTTTCTATTCTTGCAACGTTGGAATACAATCCACATATTGAGCTGCTCCTGCGATGCCTTTGAAAGTTTAGACCGATAAGAAACGTAATATGTTGAAGAGGTCCACTTTGTCCTTTTCAATGACAGTTTGAAGTACACTGATTGAACAGACCTTCAAAATGTAACCTTTGAAATGTCTTTACTCGAAATTCAATAGCCTTTAGAAACATTTAATCAATAAAAAAAAAATCATTTTGAATGTCATAAAAAAATAAGTCCTTTGTAAGTTACCCACTTTTTTTCAGTTTTTTTTTAAAATATATATGGGTTTGTGACAGATATCCAGTTATACGGATTCGGCAGGTTTTCTTTCACTTTGTTGCTGCGAGGACTGAAAATAAAATGCACAGAAAGTCCAAGTGGTAATAGACGCTCGCCTATTTACACGCAAGGCATGGATAAATGTTAGGGGCGCTGTTGTGGTGAGATGTTAACTCCCTCGCCAGGTATACAGGAGGCCGTGGGTTCGATCCCGACCCTGACGCCTGTATGTGTGGAGTTTGCACGTTCTCTCTGTGGTCGCGTGGATTTTTCTCGGTGGGGGGGGGGGTGTTTCCCCTCCACATTGAGAAACAACATGCCTTTAGATTATTTGGTGGCTATAAAATGTCCACATAAGCCAGCGGTTTGTATGTGGCACGGTGACAGTAGTGGGGAATGTTGCACTCCCGGTCGTGGGAACCATTATCTATATATTGTCCACTCGCGAACCGAAATCATCGAATCAAATACGGCACAAATTCCTCGGTAATGTTAAGCTTCGGCTTGCGATGCATGCAGTTTAATTCACTACATGCTGAGGCTTTGTTGGAAAGTAACGGTACAGTGTTTATCAGGAGCACCTGGAATGCGCCCAACCATATCAGATCCCAGAAGCTAAGCGGGTTGAGCTTGTACAGTGATTGCGAGTATATCTCGTACAACTGCTTTAAAAAAGATATTATGAATGCAGATTTTCAGAAATACATGAATATGGAGTACAGGTAAAAACGTATATCTCACGTAATTTGATTCAACATAAATATAGATTGTGATACATGCATCTAATCATGCACAAAAGAGTTGTTTTTTTTTACCATGTTTTGCAAATTTCATGAACATTACCTGTTGTCACAATGAGGTTAGCAGAGTAAACGCAACTGTACAATGGACCAAACAAGAAACAATAGAAACAAGGCTGTAGAGACGAGAAAGGGTATACATGCTCAAATAAAATCACGGCCCTGAGCCTTGACAAGTGAATTGTTGGTCACAACTACTCACCCACTCACTGCTCACCACACTGCAGGTCACAGCAACTCACCCACCCACCCACTCACTGCTCACCACACTGCAGGTCACAGAAACTCACCCACACACTCACTGCTCACCACACTGCAGGTAACAACTCACCCATCCACCCACTCACTGCTCACCACACTGCAGGTCACAACAACTCACTCACCCACCCACTCACTCACTGCTCACCACACTGCAGGTCACAACTCACTCACCCACACACTCACTGCTCACCACACTGCAGGTCACAACTCACCCACACACTCACTGCTCATCACACTGCAGGTCACAACTCACTCACCCACACACTCACTGCTCACCACACTGCAGGTCACAACTCACCCACACACTCACTGCTCATCACACTGCAGGTCACAACTCACTCACCCACACACTCACTGCTCACCACACTGCAGGTCACAACTCACCCACACACTCACTGCTCACCACACTGCAGGTCACAACTCACCCACACACTCACTGCTCACCACACTGCAGGTCACAACTCACCCACACACTCACTGCTCACCACACTGCAGGTCACAACTCACCCACACACTCACTGCTCACCACACTGCAGGTCACAACAACTCACTCACCCACCCACTCACTCACTGCTCACCACACTGCAGGCCACGTCACTTCTCTATCTGCTTCTTTGTTCGCACTGCTCCACTTTGGAATTCCCTACCACCGTCTCTTTTCCCAAGCTCTTATAATCTTACTCAATTTAAGAAACGTGTTCATTTGTTTAAATCTAATTCAATAGTGCCGTATGTTGCTGGCCACTTGGTGTCTTTGGGTCTGCGGTCAGCAATCGTGATGACAAAAAGTGCACGTACAATGTGTTCAACCAACTCAGTCACAACTTGCTTTTAATTATTTTATTAAACTGTATAGAATTGTTTATTGTTTTGATTAATGATGTGATGATGGCGCTCTGAGTGGAAGATTTGTGCCACAGAGGCGCCACCATGTGAACCAAAAATAAGTTCGCTCGACTTGGCTTCACCTCCACGAGAGGCTTTGGACCGGCTTCACCTCTGTGACCTCTGGTTCCCTGCATCTGCTTTCCTCGTGCGCTGCGGCAGGTCGGACGTGGTGGTGGTGTGCTTCTCCATCGCCAGCCCCAACTCTCTGCGCCACGTGCGCACCAAGTGGTTCCCCGAGATCAAGCACTTCTGCCCCCGCACGCCCGTGCTGCTCGTCGGCTGCCAGCTTGACCTCCGCTACGCCGACCTGGAGGCTGTGAACCGCGCGCGCAGGCCCCTCGGCCGGTAAGCCAGGACAGGCGGGACCGAGCCAGGCCCAGGCCACGCCAGGCCAAGCTACATTGTACGTGCACTTGTACAGCCCCTTATCAATCCACTGCCGGACGAGGGCCCGACCTGGAGGCTGTAGATCGTGCGTGCAGGCTGCTCGGCGGGTAAGCCAGGTGAGGCCAAGCAGGGCCTGGCCAGGCCAGGTGAGGCCAAGCAGGGCCTGGCCAGGCCAGGTGAGGCCAAGCTGCATTGTACTTTAATTGTTATCACGCAGGAGTCGTACTCATTTTCAACGTGGCCCCAATGTCACGCCAGCCCCGGTATGGTTGGCCGATGCAGCCCTCCACTGTTGATTATCGTCATCATCTGCAATCTGTGGCTGATTATTCCATGTCATTCCTTTCCATTCGTGTGCCTCTTTCTCCTCTCCGTGTTTTTTTGCAGTCGTCCTCTGCTACCTTCCACTAACGGTGCTATTGCTTTAGATTAGTTCTGTAACACTGGGCATCAGTAATTTAGGAAGAGATGACATCAATGTGGGTTTGTTTACTTCCACGAAGCCTGAGAATCAGACACGTAAGCTCCAGTGACATGTATGGGTACAGTCCTTTTTGTAAATCCACTGTTGGATAAGGGCCTCCCCACGCCGTGCCGGTCGTGGGAGTTATATGACCATACTTGACCAGTGGCGAATGGCGGGTATTAGTATCTGTTGTGCGTGTCACTGCATTGGGTGTGTTTGTGTGCTAATGCGAAATACTTCATCAGGAGCAGGAGTGCAGTGCTTTGCCCACTTTACTACAATCCTGGTGACCCGGTTTCAATTCCTGGCCATTAGCCACAGGTGACATCTGAACCTTTACTGAACCCTTCCCCGTGTTATCTCCGTCTATGCCGTGTATATGGTGTGGTTGTGTCAACGATCAGCATTGGAAAGACATTAGTGGCCCGGCATGCGTAGCGATTGTTACACCGTCCCTTCATTTTTCAGGTAAACATTCATACATCATTCCTGATTGTGCGATTAAAGAAGACTTCCAGTGGACGCTGACAGCGATATCCGGGAAAGGTGCTTGCTGGCAGTGTCTGCTCTAACATTTAAATTAGGCCCAATGGGGATAACATGAGCACGCATATACACGTGTACAAGTGTATACGTATACACTTGAGACGCTGCGTACGGTATAAATACAGATCGTGTTGCAAATTGCATTGCGTGCTCGCTTGTACAACACAGCCACAGCTTTTGCTAGGCAAAACTAAAATGTAAAAAAATTCCATTACTAATTTCTCAACTACGCCGTACAAGGACCGCCTTTTGGCTACGAATCTCAGGAGCAATGAGCGTGACCGGGTGACGCTTGGGCGGGTGTGACCGTGACGCCGCAGGCTGATCAAGCCGGGCGACATCCTGGCCCCGGAGAGGGGTCGAGAGGTCGCGCGCGAGCTCGGTGTGCCGTACTACGAGACGAGCGTCGTCGCGCAGTTTGGAGTGAAGGACGTCTTCGACAACGCCATCCGCGCCTCCCTGCTCGCCCGTCGCAACCTGCAGTTCTGGAAGGCTCACCTGCGCAAGGTCAGGCCCGGGGCGCGGGGGCAGCACCGCCTGTGTGCACACTGCGCCCTGCGGCGGTCGATTGTGACAATGTCCTTTTAGCACCCCGGCGGTCGTGTATTCACTCTCCACCAATGCCGTGTATTCACGCTCCATCCATGCCGTGTATTCACGCTCCACCCATGCCGTGTATTCACCCTCCACCCAGGCCGTGTATTCACCCTCCACCCATGCCGTGTATTCACCCTCCACCCATGCCGTGTATTCACCCTCCACCCATGCCGTGTATTCACCCTCCACCCATGCCGTGTATTCACTCTCCACCCATGTCGTGTATTCACCCTCCACCCATGCCGTGTATTCACCCTCCACCCATGCCGTGTATTCACCCTCCACCCATGCCGTGTATTCACCCTCCACCCATGCCGTGTATTCACCCTCCACCCTTGCCGTGTATTCACCCTCCACCCATGCCGTGTATTCACCCTCCACCCATGCCGTGTATTCACCCTCCACCCATGCCGTATATTCACCCTCCACCCATGTCGTGTATTCACTCTCCACCCATGCCGTGTATTCACCCTCCACCCATGCCGTGTATTCACCCTCCACCCATGCCGTGTATTCACCCTCCACCCTTGCCGTGTATTCACCCTCCACCCAGGCCGTGTATTCACCCTCCACCCTTGCCGTGTATTCACCCTCCACCCAGGCCGTGTATTCACCCTCCACCCTTGCCGTGTATTCACCCTCCACCCATGCCGTGTATTCACCCTCCACCTATGCCGTGTATTCACCCTCCACCCTTGCCGTGTATTCACCCTCCACCCTTGCCGTGTATTCACCCTCCACCTATGCCGTGTATTCACCCTCCACCCATGCCGTGTATTCACCCTCCACCTATGCCGTGTATTCACCCTCCACCCATGCCGTGTATTCACCCTCCACCCTTGCCGTGTATTCACCCTCCACCCATGCCGTGTATTCACCCTCCACCCATGCCGTGTATTCACCCTCCACCCATGCCGTGTATTCACCCTCCACCCATGCCGTGTATTCACCCTCCACCCATGCCGTGTATTCACCCTCCACCCATGCCGTGTATTCACCCTCCACTCATGCCGTGTATTCACCCTCCACCCATGCCGTGTATTCACCCTCCACCCATGCCGTGTATTCACCCTCCACCCATGCCGTGTATTCACCCTCCACCCATGCCGTGTATTCACCCTCCACCCATGCCGTGTATTCACCCTCCACCCATGCCGTGTATTCACCCTCCACCCATGCCGTGTATTCACCCTCCACCCATGCCGTGTATTCACCCTCCACCCATGCCGTGTATTCACCCTCCACCCTTGCCGTGTATTCACCCTCCACCCATGCCGTGTATTCACCCTCCACCCATGCCGTGTATTCACCCTCCACCCATGCCGTGTATTCACCCTCCACCCATGCCGTGTATTCACTCTCCACCCATGCCGTGTATTCACCCTCCACCCATGCCGTGTATTCACCCTCCACCCATGCCGTGTATTCACCCTCCACCCTTGCCGTGTATTCACCCTCCACCCAGGCCGTGTATTCACCCTCCACCCTTGCCGTGTATTCACCCTCCACCCAGGCCGTGTATTCACCCTCCACCCTTGCCGTGTATTCACCCTCCACCCATGCCGTGTATTCACTCTCCACCCATGCCGTGTATTCACCCTCCACCCATGCCGTGTATTCACCCTCCACCCATGCCGTGTAGTCACCCTCCACCCTTGCCGTGTATTCACCCTTCACCCATGCCGTGTATTCACCCTCCACCCATGCCGTGTATTCACCCTCCACCCTTGCCGTGTATTCACCCTCCACCCAGGCCGTGTATTCACCCTCCACCCTTGCCGTGTATTCACCCTCCACCCAGGCCGTGTATTCACCCTCCACCCTTGCCGTGTATTCACCCTCCACCCAGGCCGTGTATTCACCCTCCACCCTTGCCGTGTATTCACCCTCCACCCATGCCGTGTATTCACACTCCACCCATGCCGTGTATTCACCCTCCACCCATGCCGTGTATTCACCCTCCACCCATGCCGTGTATTCACTCTCCACCCATGCCGTGTATTCACCCTCCACCCATGCCGTGTATTCACCCTCCACCCATGCCGTGTAGTCACCCTCCACCCTTGCCGTGTATTCACCCTCCACCCAGGCCGTGTATTCACCCTCCACCCTTGCCGTGTATTCACCCTCCACCCAGGCCGTGTATTCACCCTCCACCCTTGCCGTGTATTCACCCTCCACCCAGGCCGTGTATTCACCCTCCACCCATGCCGTGTATTCACCCTCCACCCAGGCCGTGTATTCACCCTCCACCCAGGCCATGTATTCACCCTCCACCCTTGCCGTGTATTCACCCTCCACCCAGGCCATGTATTCATCCTCCACCCATGCCGTGTATTCACCCTCCACCTTGGCCGTGTATTCACCCTCCACCCTTGCCGTGTATTCACCCTCCACCCAGGCCGTTTATTCACCCTCCACCCTTGCCGTGTATTCACCCTCCACCCAGGCCGTGTATTCACCTTCCACCCATGCCATGTATTCACCCTCCACCCATGCCGTGTATTCACCCTCCACCCATGCCGTGTATTCACCCTCCACCTTTGCCGTGTATCCCACGCAAATGCGTGGGCAGTGCTCGTTGTCATCATCATTATCAGCATCCCTTCTCCCGAGCTACTCTCGCCTCTCAGCTACGACCAGGCCTACCCCAACCCCTATCACTACCCCAACCCCTCACCATTACATTCTCCAGAAATTGTACATGGAGTAATATCTGCCTCCTTTACAAAACTGCACTGACCAAGATGCACAGACATATTCTTTTCGAGCTACCTTGTTAAATAATTCCACACGAGCGCAATATTGGACGTTCAATGGCAGCGCTGAACACAAAAAAAACCGAATTGCATTATGCCGACAACTTGAAATTATTCCGCAAAGTGGCGCATAACGTCTAGGTTTCCCCCTTGCCGTGAATGTGGCAGCATTATTCGATTCTCACAGATGCGCCAAAGTTCGACGAAGTAAACACTGCCAAATTGTTCAACCCCCCTCCGGTCCGCCCTGCAGGTGCAGCGTCCGCGCATGCAGGAGCCGTGCCTTCCGCCCCGGCCCCCACCGCCTCCGATCCGCGTGCCGCCGCCGCCACCGTGCAGCCCTCTCGGGGACCCGGACCCCTGGGCCACGCTGCTGGGTGACCCCCCCATCTGCTCCGACGTGAGCTTCCTGCTGCAGGAGGGCGAGCGGTTGCACGCTCACCGCGTCTACCTGGCCATCGCCTGCTCCAAATTCCACGACCTCTTCACCATGGACCTGCTCGAGGCCTCCTCCGAGTGCGAGGGCGACCACCACCACCACCACCACAACAACGACAACAACAATCAGGCTGCCGGCCAAACGGACGCCTCCGGCGCCGCAGCCGCTTTCGGCGCGGACGGCCAAGAGAGCGGGCGGCCGGAGACGGACCGAAGTCTTTCGGCGAGCGACAGGGCCGTTTCGAGCGGCGCCGATGGAGACGTCGACCCGAGCGGAGCCGAGCGACCGAGTCGCGACGAGGCGGACGCCCCCCCCTCCCCGGAGGAGGAGGAGGAGCGTGCGGAGCGGCCGCGTGCGGCGGAGGCTGCCGAAAAGACGCCGCAGACGCCGGCGGAGAGGCTGCAGGCCAGGAGCCACGGGCGCGGGCTCCTCACCAGGGCCCTCAGCCTCAAGGTGTGGAGCAAGGAACCTCGGGATGAAGCCGGCTGCTGCGGTGGAGGTGGCGGAGGCGGCGGCGGCGGCGGAGGAGGAGGAGGCCACGGCAACGTGGCCGACGAAAACCGCCGGCGGCTTCGAGCATCCCGCAGCGACGGCAGCATCAAGCTGGGCTCGGCGGCGCAGCAGGGCCTGGGTCAGGTGCGTCGTTCGTTTCGCGAACGAGGATAGTCACGGAAATACTCAGTGACCAAATGTTTTTCATTTATCTGTATTTGATCTAACGATGGCTACTGGGAGATGAGATTCGTCAAGCGTGACGACGGCTATGGCTGCTGTGCGATAAGCACTGCTGTTTGTGCGGAGACGGAATTAACTATTAGTCTGAGCCATTAGGTAATTTGAGTTACGGTCTTAAGAGACTGCATTGTACTGAGCAAGAAGAATCAAACATGGTAATTGGCTATACAGTATATGAAGCAATTGGCGGGACCCCGGGGTCCCATCACTGCCCCGGGGTGGGAAAAACCGCGTAGCGACACGAGTCTTGCCTTACCGACAACAAAACTAGTGGTCAATTGATTGGCCTCGTCGAGAGCTACTCGGGGCACTAAGTTTTGTAAAAAGTTGAAAAATTATATAAACACGTTAAATTCACTGCCTGGGGGGTGGGCTCGCCTTGGCAAAGAAGCTGAGGATCGACGGCTGACCGGAGGGCGTCGTCGCCGCACGCAACCGCGGCGGACGCCCCCCCGGGGCTTGCGTTTGGCCGGTGGGGTGGCGCCCATCGTGTTGATCGCCGCCTGCTGGCGCTTGTTGGCGCGAGTCTGGGTGGGCGGCGCGTTGCTGTCGGGGTCACGAGTGGGCGGACTGAAAAATAATAATTATTGACCTGATTTTTGCGGGACCCCAGGGTCCCGCCAAATGATTCATTTGTCTAAACATGTACATACCGAGTTCACTGGCTGGCTGACCTCGAAATATTGGTAGAGAAAAATTGCGCGCCACCTCGCACCGACATTTCATTACTGGAATCGTTTGACTAAGGTTTTGACTGAAAGACCAGGGACCGTGATCGCCGAGACGTAAGACAGCACGCAGTGGTGGCGGTAATATTCAGCAAACTAAACTAATTGCCTCGGAACACAAGCAGCTCAAATGGGCCTTCGACTCATGTACGAAATTCGAGTGCACCAAATAATAGCTCTAATTCATGTCCAAACAAACATAGAGCGCTAATTCACATAAACAAGCTTATGAATACTTCTCATCTCTATCTTGTCTGCAGCTTTCTTCTCTCACCATCTCACTACGCCTCTGTCCCTTGCCTACACCTCTTTCATGTCACCTCCTCTCTGTCTCATCTGTGTCTCTCTTCTCGCATATTATTACTCAACAACATTCATGCCATCTCACTACATTTCTATCGCTCGTCTACATCTCTGCTGACATCCCATGAGGAGTTCGTAAATTTAGAGGGGGGGGGGGTGCACCCCCGACGTAACGTCCGCTTTGGGGCCCCCAAATGAGACAGCACCACCACCACCGTGGCTGAAACAGCGGTGGGCGACGGTAGCCTTCTCACGGTGGCCCACCTGTTCCGTGCTCTCACGTTACCTTTCACAACAACGTGACCCTGGCCTACGCTCCTTCAACGGGGGAAGCAGCAAAACGACGCGGGCTCTCTCCCAAAGCCCTCCCGTTGTGTCCAGTAAACCTCGACGTTGGCATCTGGCTCCTTAATGTGACCACCACAATTGTGCACAGCACTTTCGCGTGTATGTTGAACTTCTTTCGTATCGTACTTAACCAACCATGCTAATTGGAGGTACGAAGATGGACAGCAAACTAAGCTCAGAAAGCAGTTTAAAGTAATTCGTTTTCAATCTAGATTTAAAAGTGCGTAGCTCCAGTGGCTTCCTAATATTGGAAAAACGTTCCAGACGGCCGCAGAAGCGCATCTGAAAGCGCGCGATGCGGTGACCGTCTTTGTCCGACGGCCAGCCAAAAGCCGCCGCTGCTGCGAGGATGACCGGAGTTTGCGTGACGGTTTACGCTGCTTGACGAGATCAGCGAGGTATTGATCGCGGTCCATCTGTGGCAAGCACTTTGTGTGCGCGACGAGCGCTAACCGAGCGACCTCCGCGCCCAGGTGGTGGCATCCCGCTCGCTCGTGGGCTGGGGCCGCGGCTTCGTCAGCGTGCACCTCGAGTGGGCCGAGGACGCCCGCACGGGCCGCCGGCGGCTCGCCACGGTGGTGACGGCCGACCGCGGGGTGCGCGTGGGCCCACTGCGCGCTGTGCTGCGCTACCTGTACGCGGGACGCCTCGAGGAGGGCCTGCGCAAGGAGCAGCTCATGCAGATCGCCGCCATCGCCGAGGCTCTCGAGGCAAGGCCCCCGCCAGCCGCGTCTTTTCTGCCCCGCGACCCTCGCCTAAACGGGTTCAACGTTCGGCCCGTCAGTCCACTAGCCGGGGGGCGGAGCGGCGGTACACTGTGTGGGTCACGCGTCGCGCCACGGGCATGACGACCCAAGTTCAAATCCCAGCCATGGCTGACGGTGGCGAGTGATATTGGAACCGATTCTGTTCTCCCACACCGCCCCTCTCCCACCAACTCGTACTGACCAGTACGAGTTGCAGTATGGCCAAAACCTTCCATTGCCAATTTGTGGTGGGGAGGTCTTCATTCTTTCGTGGGATTGAAAATGGTTGGAATTCATGTTTTATTTTACATTTGCGTAGCAGACGCTGCTGTAGTGTAACGGCAATCCTGAGGGTTCCAAGTTCCATGTCCCGGTGTGGCAGTTGAACAAATGGGCCAGGTTCTATAATACCCCTTCCTCTGTCCACATAGCAGCATTAATGGGTACACAACACTCTGTTGATCGATTTTTTGTTTGTTATTCCTTACCAGTGATGTATCTTGCATTATTAAATTCTGCAAAAACATTTCAGTGTTCACTCAGACAATAAGGCTATCTACGCTAAATTATTCAGCAAGGAAAGGGGTTTGTGTCCTTGCCAGGAGGAGACAGCAGGTAATGACGAACCCTTCACACTGATGTTTCCAGTGCTGTTCATTGAAGGGAAGCATCCTGCAGGTACTTCATTGCCGAGCAGCTGGTCAGTGTCTGTTTGTTGATGGCTCACAACTGTTCGTGATCTCCCGAGTCCTTGTCCAAGGTGCTGGATTACAGATGTGTACCATTATGCCCGCCAGAATGATGGTAACGACCAATTTATTATATCTTTCGTCTGCGGCTAATACGATTTGGTAATCACAAAAAGTAAATATAACACCATAACGCATAGTAGTTGAGGCTCTGCAACAAGCGATTGATTACAAATATGTATGAAGTTTGAGATTAGTTAATCACAGGTGTATTCATCATCCTAATTGCAGAGGCTTGTGAAATACATTGTGGTGGCTTATTCAGCAAGTCGGAAACACCTGGGCTTCTTTACTTGCACGCCACCATTGCCAAGGGAATTAGGTCAGTGGATTAAGCGCCCTTAGTCTGTGAACGTTGTGACGCCGTAGCTACATATGGCCCATTAGTGTCTCGTGTCACCTCAGAGATGGATCAGGGTCAGGCGTGAGACTATTGGTGTGGGTGTCAGGGGTGTGACGTTGTCGAGTTATGAATAGGTTTTCCTCCCATCACGCGTGTGGCCCCAAAGCCTTCACCAATCCCTCTTGATGTCATCCGAGGAGAGGCTCAATAATGAAAATCCATTCGGAGGCTGAATGAATGAGATGCACTGCCAACACTTGTGCCACTTTAACTAATGTGGCGACTGCACACACACACGCCACGCCACACCACGTAATGCATTTAGTGCGGGGTTCAATTTAATTTAAGGCCTGGGATGTAGCTCCGTTGCTAGAGCTCAGGCTCCCAGGCGTTAAGGTGATTATTTAATTTACAGCCATGGTCGACGCAGTCTATAATCCCATTTACACTGCTAGGTGGACAGATGCGGGGGGGGTTAATTGTTTTCAACTGCCACGCCGGAAGATGGAATCTGAATTGTGACCTCTTCATTGTGAGACGTAGTTCGCTAGGCATTACACCGCTGCAGCAGCAGTATCCATAAACTCTGCAGTGGCTCTGGCGTGCTTTTTGTGCAGGCGTAACGCCCCGTGTCGCTGTTTGTTTTGTCATCCGAATGCCCGCAGGTGTTTGACCTGCGCATGATGGTGGCGAACCTTCTGAACGACGAGGGCTTCATGAACCAAGAGATTACGAAAGCCTTCCACCTCCGTCGCGCAAACCGCATCAAAGAGTTTCTCGCTAAAGGGACGCTGGCAGGTGGGGGAAAAAAAAAACAATCCTTCAGCCATTATCGTCAATATCAGATGTCATCATAAATTATGTATTAGCATACATCAAGACATCGTCGTCTTTAATAAACATTCTAACACGTGGAGAATCATTTAGAAAATAAATAAGGCTGCTGAGATGCAGGACACTACCGTGCATCTGCATACAGGATCTAACTTTCGGCCAAATATGAGGAATTGCTACAGCTGCTTAGAATGCTGTGGTGACACCATTATTATGATGAGCATTATTATACTGTATTGCTGAGGAGATCAAGACGATTCAGAATCACATACAAAAGCACAATGTTATAGTATTTGTTATAAATAAAGATAATCGAGCAAAGAGTGGTGTAATTACAGAATGTACTACCTCGTTGTTGAGAAGGTTACTCACCTCTGAAGTAGAGTCGGAAGACTGAGATTCGCTGACCTTGAAGAATGTATTTGCTTTTTCAAATAAATGTGAAAAACCAAAGAGAGTGAGATGACTAAGAGCACGTGGCAAGGCCAAGGTGGGCAGGGGGCAAGTGTTCTCAGAATTTCGTGCAACGGATAAGAATATATGTTTATAATTGCTAGTGCATATAATACACATTCATTGTAATTCTTACGTTAGGAAATGGCGACACATACTTTGTAATGTCGACAAGCACATCTTGCATTTCATACGCTGGATTGCCAAGGAGATTTATGGAACGCAGCTTTAATCATGTCTGTTTGTGGTTGAATTTTAAAACTCGGATTTATTTATGGCATCCTTCTCCGCACGCTCAGAATTCCAGCTTATTTAAGTGACCAAATTTCGAGAGAATTTACTGGAAGGTATTTGAGGGGATCAGCCAAATTGAACGGTTGATGTGGGACAATGTTGTGAGGGAACATACAGCAAATCAGGCGCTCTAGACAGGACGATTGGTGTCGGAATGGGCACAAAGCGGCAGCGTTATAATGAGGTTTCACAATATACATGCATTTTTTATATATAAAACAATTTTTACGTCTGAGAAAGAGACATTATGAATGTACAAAAACAGCTGATTTAGAAAAAAAATAGGCAGGTTCACAAAGATGTGATTTCTACAAAAAAAAACTAGCCCCATTATATTTGCAGTGCATGCTCCATATGGGAGGACGCATCACTGTGACCTCCTCTGTGCCATGGCTGGGCAAATGTCCTTGGACGCGAGAAGACATTTTCACAGCAAAGCTATTCTCATTTACACGGCTATTGGTCCATAGATCTGCACTTTATTTGTCTGACCCGTTGTTATTACCATTGGACAATCCTAAAGGTTGGTGACGTGCGTCTGATTGCCTGTTAATAATTCCCAGATTTTGTACACAATTTGGAGAAAAAAATATTTAATGTGGCTGCCCCAAAGTTTTGGAACCTTTTTTAGTCTCTTCGCATATCCATTCTGCCATCTCCCTATTTAAATTGACTCCATAAAAATGACTGAAGTTCAAGTGCGAATCCAATTTTATAACATGAATGCTATTACTTTTTTTTTAACCCGTGATAATGGAATATGTTGGTGATGTCTGCCGCCCGAGTCACCCTTGAGATAGAGCTCCTTCGCTCAGTGGGGCTTTACTCGGTTTAAAAAATAGTTAAACAAATTCCACGTGTAACATTGCTACTGTTCCTGCTGCGATTGGAAATGAGGGGCCAATAATTCCCCCCCCCCCGCCCCAAATTGCGTCTTGTATTTACATCGCCACTTTTTCTAATCATCTCTCTCTAGAGGGCTTAAGAGGCTTGGCTATTTTTTGTGCATTCACAATGTCTCTTTTCCAATTACTCTTTTCTTTCTCGTTACAAAATACATTATGGATAATCTCTTCTCCCCAGCGAGGCCCATGCCCCGCTGTTTTGTACCGCACGTTGGGCTGTCATTGCATATTTAGACGCTGCGATGTATACATCCAAATTGTATTACAGTACATTGTGAATCTTCCTCAGATAAAATATCCAAATTGCGGTCGTGATCAGACATTTCCACTAGAGGGCGGGGATTCTACGTGCACAGTGGCAAAGGCGAGTTTTGCAGAAGCTTGCACTTTGCATCTCAGAAGGAAATTATGCCACAAGCAAACGCTGGGGGCAGGACACGAGGACAGAAATCACATTTACACACTGGTGTACCATCCGCGTGTCTATTTTAGAGTTGCGATAATTAATCGATTGAGTGGATGAATCAAGCAAAGAAGTCCATAATCGACTGGATTACATATGTGTGGTCGATTACACGGACCCCTTTGAAAAGAGCGAGCACCCTAACATCCCGCCTCCTGAAGACGGGAAACCCCCGACAAGCCACACCCAGCGTGACGCGGCTGATGATGCCGGTGGCATTGCCAAGCCCCCGGCCATCACCTCCCATCCAGCGGCACATCTGGGAGCCGAAGTTAAATGTTTCACCCCCCCCCCCCACCAACTATTGCCGTGCAATCTGAATAGTCGAGCAATCGAAACGGCAATGCGTATCGGGTAAATCGATTACTTTCTCGGGTATCTCAGCTGTAAATGCACTGCATTAACAAGTTGAAAATACATGCATTACAAATGGATACACTGACAATAACACTGAATGTAAATGTGGTGAATCATTTTAATAACTGCAATGTTAAAGCACCGCGGTACGTGACATTGCACAGCACTCCGCTCCCCTTACCCGCGTCGGTGTGTACCGCGTACACTTTAGTACCTTAGGCCCATCTTGGACGCAGGGCCTCGGGTCTGAGTCGACAATGAGCTTTGCTCTAATCGGCGTGAGGCATGCAGAGGGTGAGGGTTTATAATGAATACCGCCGAGTGCCCTCCAGAGCCCCATGCAATAATATTCACAATGCATCGGCACCCCACCTCGCTGCCCTCTCTGTTCATAGCCACCGATTGTAACCTTGTATGAATGTGTTCGTACGTTGAACTTCTTTCGCGCCGTACAGAGCCAACCGTGCTAATCGGAGGTGCGGGGGGAAGGACAACAAACTGAACACAAGAAGCAGTTCTAAATAAAATTCAATTTTCAATCCAGATCGTTTTAAAGTGCGTTGCTCCAGTGGCTTCATAATATCGGAAGGAAGAGCGTTCCAGACGGCCGCAGAAGCGCACCTGAAAGCGCGACGCAGTGACCAACTATATGACCTTGGCCTGTAACGTTGAATTGATTCAGTCTATAAGTATTGATTCCGAAGCTCACGATAATGCTTGCAATTGGCATGCATAAGTTCGATGTCTTTCAATGTGTACATGTTGTATGTGATAGGTTCATCTGGCCCCTGTAGCTGCAAAAGGCTGTTACATTCACTATACAGTAGCTGGGTTTTCCAGCGAGCTACATTATAGTATATGTGATGTTTGTGTGTTATATACAGGCAAACAGAATATGCACACGGGTTAGCCAGAATTTAGGTTATTATGGAAAGAGTGCCTGAAAAAAACATATTCATGTAAAAGACAATCCCAAAATAAATTGGCTTGTACAGTTCCTGTCTTAAATAAGCTGAGCGTGAAATGATGCAGACTTATGGTATCAGTAATATATGTTTTTAATTAAAATATATTTAATTTAATTTAAAGATATTGATGTGCAAAGATATTAACGGCCAAAGTGCTGCAATCTTCAGACCTCATGGCAGGCTGATGCAATCGTTTGAAAGTGCACTCTGCTTGTGCCATGCATTCCTTGATTCTTCAATCATATCACAGATTACTGATTTTTGTACATTGCATTCATTTTCTGAGTCCATTACTTTCATTAAAAAAATGAATACATATTATGTATTGTAATAATTTTGTATAGTTTTTTTAATATTAATATGATCCAGTACTTACACGGCAAATACTTAACAAGAAGAAGATTGTTGCCTTCTACACAGTCATAATATCTCGTGAACCGTCCCTGATGGTGACACCGCTCAGACTATTGTGATGTGTTTTTAAGTGTTATTACATTCGAGATATTTAGTTAATGGTAATTAGTAGTTAGCGGATAGATATCAAGTGTTGATTAAATGTAAGTGTTAGGTATTAATTCAAGCTATATGTCATAAAAAAAAATTTTGTTGCAATCCCCCATAACCAGGAAGGCTCTCTCCACGTAGCTGGCTGGCAGTGGTGGCTCCGCACGTGGCCTTTAGTAAAATCCATCACTGTGGAGCCACTGGGGGCTTGGTGGACCACCGCACGGATGTTGTGACGCTCCCTTTCCGTGGGCGTCGAGGTGCCATAGCCAAACTTGCCAAGAGAGGGCGGTTCAGCAAACGGGGACTCCATCTGTTCCATCTGCATGGGACAGAATGTGCATGTGCGGGTTTTTTTCCCGGGTGCTCTGGTTTCTTCCAACATATTAACAAATTGGCTGAAAACATTTTAACACAGGCTTTCGCGACCAATATTATTCATAATAAAGGTTTTTGGGTTATCTACAGTGCTCTATTTAAGAGCGGAAGCAGGAAGACTTCTTCACAATTCTGGCAAATCGCCTGATGAAGCTGGTTGCAATGGCCAGCGAAACGGCATATTCAATTGTTATTGTTGTGGGCTTACTTGCCATCACACCGATGTGCTGAAGTAATAGCTAATTAGCACGTGTTTTTCACGTGACAAACCTTACTCATTGGCTGTGTCAGGTGGTGGTGGGTTAACGACACATTTATATTTATGCAATCTAACCCAAAAACCTTTATTATGAATTAAACCATCTTCACATATTGAGGACCTCAGAGCTTGGGAAATTATTGATGCAAACTCAGCACCTGGCTGCCTTCCCGCTCGTCTGTGGTTCGCCACGCCTTTGCGTCATTCTCTCTCTTCGAGAGCGAGCGAATAATGTGTGCATTATAAATTGAAACTATTATGTTTTTATTATTATTATTAGACTGACTTTGAAAGGCTTTACTGTGCGACTAAAGTGGCGTTAACTGTCCATTTATATTTGCTAGGAATGTGTAGGTTTTTTTTACCGATACCAAAATGAATACTGTATAGAATATGGTACATCAATTAATTTACAGTATACAAATGTATGGATTGTAGGATTCCCTAACTAATCGGATTCCTCCAGTCTAAATAAAGGTTCTGATAATCACATACAGTGTGAGAAAAACTGTTTCATTTTACAAGGGCACTTTCGAAAGCTCGACATGATTGGCTTGTGAATCTAGCAACCCAGTGAGCCCTTTGTGTACGGTGTGAATTTGGTGTCGGCTTAGGCTGAAATATCCTTTCACTGCCATTTCTCAAGAGTGAGAAATAGCAGGACTTTGATGATTACAGACAGCCCATGGCCTCGCGTGACACTGTTTGGTGTCAGAACGCTGCGCCCGTTAAACTATAAACGTGGCTCCCTCGGATTGATGAAACCCTCTCTGTGAGGTTTTTTCTTTCCTTCTTAAATTGCCATTGCATCATCCTTCCTTGTGGAATTAGTACAAATGCGCAACATCTGTTCTTAACGCACCCCCAGGGGGTGCGAGATGCCCTCTGAGAACCAAAAGGCTTGCCGGCTGCAGTCAAGGTTACGGACCACTGGTTTAGAGCCATTGTGGAGTTGGCATTGGGAAGGAAAAGCGTGCACTGCGTTTATAATGTTAGCAAGCTGCGAGTTGCGTGAAGTGTTGCTGGTTTTTAGTAGCTTGCCGCTGCTTTTACGTAAGTTTCCACTTTCAGTTAATGCAGGATTTTGATTGAACTTCAGTCTTCATTCACCTTGAATGTCTCTTTTACCAAATTCACCAATGTTGTCCAATTGCTATTTTCTCCTGTAACATGACACATAGGAGATCATTTGATAACAGTAAAGACCTGACAAATGTTTAAATTCAAAAGTCTGTTATATATTTTATTTTAATATTGGGCAGTCTCATGTCTTTTCGCAGCCCGAACCAGTTTTGAAAAAGGTTCCACATTGCTATGGCAGGGGACAGTCTCCCCGAAGGTTCTTTATATCTAAATATCAATTGGCCATCTTTACCCGTCACGTGAATATATCAACATTTACTGCGGGGCAGATAGAGTTTTGATATCCAGCATGCGGAATTAACAATTGTCATCCTCCCAAAAAGTGATTATAAGGGGCGACTGTTCACGATGTTAACAGTCGCAGCTAGGCCATCCAACATCGCAACACCAATTACATAAATGTCTTTTCAACTAGATTCGAAGTTTTCGTGACTGCAGGAATTACTCTTTGGCTCTTTCGGTAAAGTAACGTAGAAAGAAAATAAATTAAATAATAGAATACGACGTTTCAGTTCCAACACAAGCAACCATTATCAGGTAAGAATGAGTGATAAAACACAGACATGGGAACAACAAGGCAGTCACACATGCAGAGAGAGACACACAAAGATATACACCAAGACTATGTTGTTGCCGTGTCTGTGTTGTATCTTTGTGTGTATCTCTCTCTGCACGTGTGACTGCCTGTGATGTTTCCGTGTCTGTGTTTTATCATTCATTCTTACTGTACCTGGTGATGGTTGCTTGTGTTGCAACCGAAACGTCGTATTCTATTATTATTAGATTTTATTTTCTACGTGACTTTTCAACATTAGCTAAAACATAAGGTCCAGTTATTTAGCATGTGGCGAACTGTATTTATAGTGGCAGAGTAGATATGAATTACTTTGTATAATAGTCAAATCCACTTAATGCTATGAATCGATCCAACAACGTCCCGATTTGTGCCATTTGTTGTGGTTGTTGTTCTGTGGAACAGACGTCACGTTTCGTGTGGAGGACGGAAGCGTGCCAGCACACAAGCCGATCCTCATCTCGAGCTGCGACTGGATGTCGGCCATGTTCGGTGGAACCTTCGTCGAGAGCTCCAACAAAGAGGTGAGGTCCCCGCGATCTCCTCCACGTCGTCACCATCCACGTCGTCACCATCCACGTCGTCACCTCCACGTCGTCACCTCCACGTCGTCACCTCCATCATTGTCACCTCCACGTCGTCACCTCCATCATTGTCACCTCCACGTCGTCACCTCCACGTCGTCACCTCCACGTCGTCACCTCCATCGTCGTCACCTCCACGTCGTCACCTCCATCGTCGTCACCTCCATCATTGTCACCTTCACGTCGTCACCGTCATCATTGTCACCTCCACGTCGTCACCTCCATCGTCATCACCTCCATCGTCGTCAGCTCCATCATTGTCACCATCCACGTCGTCACCATCCACGTCGTCACCTCCACGTCATCACCATCCACGTCATCACCTCCACGTCGTCACCTCCACGTCGTCACCTTCACGTCGTCACTTCCATCGTCGTCGTCATCGAGTTCACACTTGGGTTGTCACATTTATCATAAAGAATGCCTTCTCACAAAGTTATATTATTATAAAAAAATATATAACATCAATCGTCATCGTGATCAACATCGATTGTGATTTAATGACCATCGCCATGATCAGTGTCATCACCATCATCATCCTTATAAACACTGAAGATCGTCGGCATAATGCTCAATTATAATAATCACTAATTCTCTTCAAATCATTGTTGTCATCTTGAAAATTGACATCCACAAAATCCACCAGGATCACTGTGTGGGTCACCTTTCAAAATTAATGGGGGTAAAACAACTTTAATGGCACCATGTTAATGCTGACATTTGAAATCTGCTTTTGCATTTTAAATGTCCATTGTGAAGCTGAATTCTGTGCCATACGAATATATTCTCATTGACACAAACAGAGACACACTTCCAGTCTTAACACATTATTCTATTGTCTCTGGTTCTTTCGGTAAAGTCACGTAGATAGAAAAAATAATAAAACACGACGTTTCGGTCACAACACAAGCGTCCGTCTTCAGGTGAGATCTGCTGTTGTTGCTTTATATAGGCACGGGACGGGGGGGGGGGGAAGGGGGGTGGGAAGGAGTTTTGTCGAGTCGTGGCTGTAGGAGTTCACGGGGGAGAGGGGGGGGGGTCAAAACTCCTTCCGCCACCCCCCTCCCGTGCCTATATAAAGCCACAACAGCAGATCATTTTCTCACCTGAAGACGGAAGCTTGTGTTGTGACTGAAACGTCGTGTTCTCTTTTGTTAATTTTTCTTCTATCTACGTGACTTTACCGAAAGAACCAGAGAGTATGGATATTCCTGCAGTCACGAAAGCGTCCAAATCAAGACATGATTCTTTGTCTAACCATCAAACAAAGACCGTCACTGCATCGTGTACTTTCAGATGTGCTTCTGCGGCTGTCTGGAACACTCTTCCTTGTGATGTTAGGAAGCCACTGGAGCTTTGCAATTTTAAATCCAGATTAAAAACTCATTTCTCTAGGACTGCTTTTTGTGTTTAGTTTGTTGTCCTTCGACCCGCACCTAAGATTAGAACGGTTGGCTACGAACGGTGCGAAAGAAGATCAACATACATAAATACATATCCAGGATCAGGGACGAAACTAGGACGGTCCCATTTCAGTCCCATCAGTCTCACGAGCAACCTGCCATGACCGGTAGTCCATTGCACCTTCAGGGTCTCCGCTCTCTCTCACAGCGCCTCAAAATTACGGGTCCTGAAAACAACCACGATGATGGCAACGAGCAACTTTAATATAAAAAAAACATTCCTTAAAGAACGTGAAGGAGCATCGTCCAATGCTCCATGATGGCTCCCCCTCCACCCCCGCTTCCCAGGGGGAGGCCTGCTAAACGCAGCACTTAACAATGGCTACGTTTTCACGTGAGAGCAACTTGCAATAACATCATGGGATCCCACGTCCTGCAAGATCTTCAAAGCGCTTGCAGTTGCTTAATTATGTAACGGCATCTTTTAATTCCCAGGGTTAAGTGCTCAAACATTTGAGATTATTCACAGGCTGCCAGAGTCACCATTTTAATCTCTGCTGATAACTTCTGTACCCTGGGATTTGGGGGTGGTGAGGGCAAGTGTGGCCAAAGGTCATGTGCCCTATGCCCAATAAGACGAGTGTGCAAATGGAAAGCTTTTTAAAGTTATTATTCATTATATATGTTTTCTTTATCGGACCATCTGAGCGGCTAAACCCCGGCTCACCGAGCAAAGCCAATTGTGCATATTACAAGTGTGTGGTCGTTTTAAGTCACAGTCATTCATTTTTAGTGCATGGATATTTAATTACAAATGTTATCAGAGTCGTGTCATGGGGTGAAGAATCATCCTCTTGGAACCGGTTCAGTCAGCCGCGTGTCATGCTAGGTCAGGGAAGGGCCCTGGTACTTGATATTTCAGAACCACATTTCATTTCCCTTCAATAGGACTCACGTGAAAACGTAGCCATTGCTAAGTGGTGCTGCGTTTAGCAGGCCTCCCCCTGGGAAGCGGGGGTGGAGGGGGAGCCATCATGGAGCATCGGACGATGCTCCTTCACGTTCTTTAAGGAACGTTTTTTTAATTAAAGTTGCTCGTTGGATATCACCATCATCATCAGCCATGGTCAATCCACTGCTGGATTATAGCCATGGCCAATCTGCCGCCATGTCTCAAAAATCCCACAACGCAGCATGGCGATCTAAAATAGATAATAATAAAACAATACAACTCCAGCATTTAACGTATAATGCATGGTCGTCAAAGTAACTGTGTGGACCGTATCCCTGCCGCGTGACCTATTCTCCACAGGTTTACTTCCCTGGCACAAGTCGCGCGTGCCTGCAGGCGTTGCTCGAGTACCTGTACACTGGCCAATTCACAGCCAACTCACACCTGGATCCCATTGAGCTCATCGCTCTGGGTAACCAGCTGTGTCTCCCCCGTCTCGTAGCGCTCACAGGTATCCTTGACCAACCTTCTCTGCCCTTGCATCGTCGTGAGGTCTGGTGCATGTATGCTCGGGTTGCCGCGATGTGGTATCGCTATGAATGTACATACGTACGTACGTTGAACTTTTTTTGTACCGTACGTAGCCAACCATGCTAATCGGAGGTGTGACCGTGGTGATCGGAGGTACGATGTAAGGTGCACGCTCGTCGAATCGTCCATGTTGCTAAATATCGTTATGTTATGATTGTTTTTGCTTGTTATACATATATTTTAAGTACGTTCTTTCCCGGTGAAATGTTTGCGAAATTATAATCGCAAGTAATCTGCAGCATGGCGATTATGTGAGGTCGATCATTTTCGCAGTTCCTCGGCTTAATTACTGCTTGTGTAATGTGCGTTACAGGTTGTGGAGTTGCGATGATTATAGGACTTATGGCAGGCTTAGGTTGAGTGAACTGAACTGGAAGACATTCTAAGTAATCCAAATTTCGAGATACAAGCACAACAAAGCGTAAAAACAATGCAGCAAAATGTGAGCACAATTACAAACCTATGGGAAACTGATTTCGCGATGATCATATTCTGAGGTATTATTTTGTATTATATCATAGTGAATTATATCGTGAAAACCCTAATGCATACCAAGTAGGCCCTCATAGCCATACAGCAACACTCTCCTGAGGCTCCATCCATTCTCTGACTCCTGCAATTACAGTCAAATACATAACAGTGTTTTATGCTACGAAAAGGCAGTCATAGAAAGGCAATATACTGTGTAGGAACCTCCTGGTTACACCACCAGCCCACAGGGGATTATTGTGTCCGTCCGTCCGTCGTGCATCCAAAAATGGGAGGGGTGGGACTGGGTGGGGAGGGGCTGGGTGGGGAGGGGCTGGTTGGGGAGGGTGGGGAGGGGCTGGGTGGGGAGGGTGGGGCTGGGTGGGGAGGGGTTGGGTGGGGAGAGAGCGGCTGGGTGGGGAGGGGCTGGGAGGGGAGGGTGGGGTTGGGTGGGGGGGTGGGAGGGGTGGGGCTGGGTGGGGAGGGGCTGGTCACCCCGTGGTGCCCTTATAAAACTCAACGTTTAACCTACTCACGCCGGCTTGTGTCCGCCCTCAGAGTCGGGCATATTTGCGGAATACACCACCACGTGGTGCCGCCATTGTTGACCCTGGCCATTGACCGAGCAACCCAACGTTCCTACCAGCTCCCTCCGCAGGAATGTGTTACAGAGAAGCAGACGAGTGAAATGTCTCTTGATTTGGCTTTGATCCGAGAGTGCTTGAAGATAATAGTAAAGTTTGTGGCATTTGACAAATCTCATTGTGATTTTTGTTGTTGTATGATATCGGAACTGGATTAGCACATCATGGAAAATCCTGAAGATTCAAATCCCATTTTGACCGAGTAATAAGATTGAATGTACGCGTTGTACAGTCTTCTGGGTTCTTTCGGTAAAGTCACGTAGAATGGGAATACAATAATAAAAATAATAACAGAATAAAATTCTCACGACGTTTCGGCCACAACACAAGTAGCCTTCCTCAGGTGAAGAAACAGGACTGTCTGGAATACAGCGCTTACTGTACGGGTTGTACAGTGTAGATTTACTGTACGGGTTTTTTGCGGTTGTGCAGCATGGGCTCTCTCACACGTTTTCGGGTCGTACCGCGATTTGTTCGGCACGACGTCCGACGTTCCGCTCCACGCGCCGGGAACTTCACCTGAGTTCCAAGCTCCCAGCAAGTGCAGCGGAACGACGTCAGTGTGTCGTGTCGGACGACGTGACACGGCAGAATCTGACGGCACGTCGGAGAGTCTAAAATGCAGACCGTTCATGGGGCTGTGCTTTGGCGTGCAGAGCAGCACGCGGTTCAAGAGCTGCGTAGGGCCATGGAACGCGGCGCTGACATCGACGGGGAGTGCCTTGTCTACCTGGAGTTGGCCCAGGTAAACACGATGGTTCCAACCTATTGTATTGTTTTTTTTTACCAGGTAAGGCCCTACTGAGCTATGTAGCTCCTTTGCAGAAGCGACCTGGCTGTCGCGAATGACAGCTCGACGAAGTGGCTTATCGCGTGCGAATTTATAGCAGCAGCCAAATATCTCTCAACCTGAATGTGGAGAGAAAATCCGGAGGACTCGGAGAAAAATCAATCATGCCCATGGGAAGAGAGAACATGCAAACCTCCAAATATACAGACGTCAGGGTCGGGATCAAGCCCACGACCTCATGCATATCAGGCGAGGGAGGTAACATCACGCCACCAGGTGCATGCAGCGTGCAGTGGCTTGATTTGCACAAACAGAACAAATAAATGGGAATCGTTAGCCTGTGTGACTTTGTCGTGGTTACATTTGGCCCTGTGAGCAGTCTTGATAGCATTGCACACCCATATAATATTTAGCCAGTAACTTGGAAGAAGGCTTCCTGGGCCAGGAACTTATGAAAGTACCGTGTTGAATTGTCAGTTCCGTGATGCGCACAAAGAACCCACCTGCAGGACAAAGAGGTGCCGATGTAAGGGGCCATCACTGCACGCAGGTTTCTAACAAGACATATGGGCACTCTTTCAATATTTTCCTCTCTTACGACATTTTTTCCAGCACATCAAGCAGAATTTTTAAAGTGTATTAGCTTAAAATCTCAATTAGGGCTGCTCTGAAAAAAGTCACAAATGCCATGTGAGACTTTTTATATGGACAGATTTAAAAGTTCAAAGCAGAGATCATTTTAAAGAATTAATAATGTTCACGTATCAGGACACACGACCATTTTTGTAGGAATCACACAACTCGGTACAAATGCAAAATTACCGACGATATTAAATTATCCACAAGTGGATTTTGCAGACCTATCGTCGCTCTCATTGTGACTGTGCTGCTGTGTATATATTCGCGATTGTGCCGTACAGCTTTCCATCGTGTTGTCGAGTCATAACGTGTGTTTTTTTTTAGCATGACATCTGACGTTTTTGCTCCGCGTGCTGCCGGGGGCTTCTTCAGTTCCCGATGTAGAATCTCCCAGCGTGTGAAGCGAAAAGTTGGACGCGTAGTTCCTGCCGTAGAATCAAATTTTGGCACGCGGTGCAAAACGTCGGACAGCGTGCCTACGACACGCGGTACAGACCCGACAAACACAGATGGGGCGACTTTACTCTGCACTTTGCTCTGATGATTTTCTTACACTGAGGAAGTTAAGTACAGGAGAGCTTTGTCTGCATGCAGGTGGCTCTGCTCGCTACATGCAGCTGCATCTGACCCATGATCCTCGCCCCGCTCCCCACAGTTCCACAATGCGGATCAGCTGGCCGCCTGGTGTCTGCACCACATCTGCACCAACTATAACAGCGTCTGCCGCAAGTACCCAAAAGAGATGCGGGCCATGAGTCCAGGTGAATGTGTGCATGATGTCCTTACTTATTAGTATATTTAGGTTATTCATGTATGCATATAAGTTGAACTTCTTTCACACTATATGTAGCCAACCATGCTAAGCGAAGGTAAAGACAGAATTAAGGCAATTGTCACGGGATGTGTGGAATAGATCAAATGTTATCCACTGCACAGAACTGTTGAGTTCGTAGTATAAGTATAGCGAGACTCTCACCTTATATTTGAAATATCACGTTGAGATGATTGTGATTCAAAATAGCAGCAGCTATGACGGTGACTTAAAGCGATGTAAATGGTGGTCTTTATCATCATACAATAGACCGAATCTCAAATTGTCTCCATGCTAAAATGAACACGGAGCTCATCTCCTTCGGAGGCCCAGAGTACGACAATAATTATCATCGCAATATGCAATATGTAGGTCACACCTCATCCTATGGAAATAAAAACAAATGCTTTGTCCTGAATAGTAGGTATTAGGATGTGTTCGGAAAAAAATCGGATTAAACTGAAACATCTAAAAAATTTGGCCTGGATATGAAATGTCAAGACGGTCCAAAACACATTTTGTTTTAGAATGGCATGAAAATAAGACGGCACATGCAGTGATGTCACACTCGCGCATTTGCTGCCACAGTTGGTGTCACATTACCTCGGGGTGACATCACTTTTGTTGTTACGTCAACGACCTAAAAATCCTCGCAAAGAACTGAAATTGCCCTTGAAATTGGCAAACGTGAAATTTCAAAACGTGAAACACGAATGCGCGTTCATAACGGATGTGGTTCTAAACGTTGGGATGGCGTACACGTACATCGTCCTCTGTTCTCGGGCAACGCATGCTCTCGTTCCTGACTCCAACTCTCTTGCTTTGTCGTTCCCCGTCACCAGAAAACCTGCTGTACTTTGAGCTGCAGCGCTGGCCACCGGTCTGGTACCTGAAGGAGGAGGACCACTACCAGCGCGCTCGCAAGGAGGAGGAGATGGACGGCTACATGACCAGCAAGCGGCAGAACGCCCGACGCTGGTGGTCGCTCAGCCCGCAGCCTCCGTCATCTCCGTCCACCTCGGCGTCGGCGTCGGCCTCCCCTTCGACGTCCGCGTCCACGTTGTGATGCGCCGAGACCGGGGCCAACGGAGGCCCCTTTGGACCCTGGCCGACGTCGACGGGGGGGGGGGGGGGTGGGCCCGGTGGTTAGGACCTCGGGTCGAGTGGCGCTCCAGCTGCGAGGGCGAGGCAGTGAGCTTGTGACGAGGGCAGAAGCGCTCCACGGCTCGGCGATCAGCGCGTGGGCTTCTCTGCATGCAGTAGATGAGGGGTGCAATGAGACACCCATATCGAAGTTGAATCCAGATGTTATTTGGATGGTGGGTTTTTTTTCTGTATCTTCTATCTGGCCGATAGTACACGACGCTAGCATTTGCTTTATGCCTGTGTTCCTGCAGACCTGCGCCCATAGGGATACATCATGTATCGCTGTGTGCGATTTACTGCAAAAGTGCCCACGTTTTTTGGGGCCTAATGGTAAGGCTGCCGCTGGCCAACGGCGTCCCAGATAACTCTACAGTTTCTCCAATGCTTACTCGAGGCCAAACAGAGGCCGGGTGGCTTCAGGGTAAGGTACCGAGTGCGGAGTTGATTGCTGTGTTGGTAGCATGGCGCAATGATATCAGTATGCCACCCTAATGCAGCTGTAGGAACTAAGTGGCATTTGATCGAGTTTTGTTGATGGCGTTATTTTAAAAAAAGTCCTATTTCACTATCCACTGCTAGTCAGGTGAATTACATTCCGCATTTCATCTTCGTGAATCTCCACCGTCATCTTTGCAGCCGTAAAGAGAGGGAGGGTGATTCTAGCTCCAGTTAATTTAATGTCACTCGACTGTGTTGTTGAAAATGTTTCCATATCACGATGGACTATGGGCCTTACCTTGGGCATAGTCACCACAACCAAAGCGACCCACAGCCACTTTGCCTGCTTCAACACCATGAAGTCACTCATTTCATAAGCAGCTATCATTTGAAGATAAAAAATATATATATCTAAACATATGAGATGCATAAAGAAAAATTTCAAATAATTTTTAATGCAAACAATATTTTAAACATACATGAACTATCTATGCTATTTTCTCGTACATTTGGCTAATTACCATATATATGCTTATAACAATGTAGCTACACACAGTCGTCACATCGTCACCACACATACAGCAGCACGAGGTATGCTGTGCAACCCTCCTGCATCAAAACCGTATCTTCGTTCTCTGGTACAAATCATAATAATAATACGGGCCCACAGATCTATTTTGTCCCCCGTATTAACGATGTGTCTCACGGTCTTGAGACATTCCCTGCTGGCCTGTAGTTGTTTTTCAGCTAAAAATACCTGAGAACGATTTCCAATTGACAAAACAGGGCCCCCTGTATAAACCGAATGTGCTTCACTCGCGCGGATGCTGCAGTGGGGTCGACTGTGCCAGGGGCGTGGGCGAGGGATGCCCCCCCCCACCCCCCCTCATAATAACCCCCAATACCCAATCGCCACATGAAGCAATTCGCATGAACACCTCTGCCTAATCCTGCGGTGGCCACCGAAGGGCATCAAAGCAGGACGTGTGTGTGTGACCTGTTCAAGAGTATTTTCGTCAGCTCTCCAAGTGTTGCTGAATCGTGTGCGCACATCAGTGACAGCAGCATAAACCTGCAGAGATCCATCCAAGAAGATCTGTGAGTATTGTGAAACTTTGGTTTTCACTTCAATCCGATTCATTTTTTTTGTTCTTACAAATTGGAAAATACGGTATGCTATCGCAATCTATTCATAATTGTAGTGTAATACTACAACTATGTATATGTATCGTGTGTGTAAAGTATATACGTGAGCATAACCGTACACTAATGTACGGTGTGTGTGTGTATATACATATATTTATATGTAAAGTATGTATGCAATTGATACTCATACATACAAATAGATGTATTATATGTACAGTATATAGTGATACGTATTTTTTGTTTATTTAATGTATATGACTGAACAAATTCGTGTTTCAAATAAATAATAACGCGATTCTGGCATAAGAAAATGTACTAAAGGGCCACCTGTTAAGAACACCCTCAAAAGTAACTCGTGCAAAGTTGTACATGAGAAGCACTCTGTTGTATATAATCACCACTAGTGCGACATTTCATAAACGAATTAAAGTTCAAGTTATTTACTTTGGTTAAGCACTGTGTTTATGTTGCAATGTTATTTCCAGTAAATATAAAAAAACACTCAGTCTACTGAAATCCACAAATTGAAAAACGTTGCAAGTTTGGTGTCAAGCTTAAGTGGAGCAAATACATATAAATTTTGATTTAAAGCTTTCGTGACTGCAGGGATTCATATTCTTGGTCCTTTCGGTTAAGTCACGTAGAAGGGAAACAATAAAATAATAAAAAAAATATATTAAACAATAAATTCTCACGACGTTTCAACTGCAGTGGTTTTCACACCTGATGATGATTGCTTGTGTTGCAGTCGAAACGTCGTGAGAATTTTATTGTTTTATATATATTTTATTATTTTATTGTTTCCCTTCTACGTGACTTTACCGAAAGTACCAAGAATACAAATGCATATACTTAAAAAATGTTGGAAAAAAAATTGCTGGATTAAAACTGTAGATTAATCAAACCCATTTTGCTTTTCTTGCCATGTGAATATCTTTAAGGGCACGTGATGAATACACACGGCACTGCATACGTTTCTCTTTCGTGGCTTTCACAAAACTGAGCAACTTATGTTAAATCTCGTGTCAGTGTTTTCGACGAGGAGTAGTGGCGACACCTCGACACATCGTCGTATGATAGAAGGTCCACAAAAATACTATCGTCCGTTTTTGCTAAATATCATTATTTCGTGATTATCGTTAACCATTGCAATTTGCTTAATATTGTATTTACCAAATAACAAACTCGGTAATGAAAGCGTGTAAGCAAATCGCTGTTATACATTACATTAGTGCTTTGTAAAAGTTTTTCGGAAGATTTGACGGCATGGCGATTATAACGACGTCTATTGTGCAGTCCTAAATGTATGCGTATCTTCGTGTTTCTGTCGGTACGTGCGTTATAAGCATCACAGATTGCAAAGAAAATAAGACTGGTGGCAGGCTTACGTTGAGTGAGCTGCAGCTGAAGAACGTTTTAAGTGGTATTCATGCGTGCAAGAAGTGCGTCAAAGCACAGTAACAATAAAATAACGATGCTAAATACATTTACGAGGATATAGGACACTGAATATTTGCAATAATCGTCATATCGTCAAATTGATACGATATCGTATCTGCGTGAAAAAATACATCAAGGCATCCCCTACTGAGTAACATTGGATTAAGCCCTAAACAAACTCCACATTGAACTAAAACTACCTCCACATTTTTGTTATTAATACGCTGAACTGGTGTGTGTTTCTCCCTTTTCATTTTACACGATCACAACTTGTAATTTTAAGAGAACATCAAATGGAAATTAAACATGAGGATTCCATTAACATGTGGAAAATACACCTGCTTTAGAAAAATAGTCAACCATATATGTAAATGAATATAGTCTCAGTAAGATTGAAGTGTATTGCTTTTGTTTAATGTATCTGAATTGTTTACCCCAAACGCCATCATATTTAACAAACATATAAAGGAGTAACATTAAATGTGTATTAAATTAATGTGTATATAATTGAAAATATTAATATACCTATATGAACATACTGTGCATATGTATATATTAAATAATATGTATATAACTGTGCGCGCTTATGCTGCGATTGTACATATTTATTGTTGATATTTATACGCACATATAATATGCAGACGTTGTAGCCACAGCCGATATATTCCATTGCTTGGACTGTTAGATCAACTGCGTTGCATACCGTACCGATGCAGTGTTATGCATTTATGAACGGCATGTTTCCTCGAGTCAAAAGCACACAGGTACAGTGAGGGAAAAAAGTATTTGATCCCCTGCTGATTTTGTACGTTTGCCCACTGACAAAGAAATGATCAGTCTATAATTTTAATGGTAGGTTTATTTGAACAGTGAGAGACAGAATAACAACAACAACAAAAACCAGAAAAACGCATGTCAAAAATGTTATAAATTGATTTGCATTTTAATGAGGGAAATAAGTATTTGACCCCTCTGCTAAGCATGACTTAGTACTTGGTGGCAAAACCCTTGTTGGCAATCACAGAGGTCAGACGTTTCTTGTAGTTGGCCACCAGGTTTGCACACATCTCAGGATGGATTTTGTCCCACTCGTCTTTGCAGATCTTCTCCAAGTCATTAAGGTTTCGAGGCTGACGTTTGGCAACTCGAACCTTCAGCTCCCTCCACAGATTTTCTATGGGATTAAGGTCTGGAGACTGGCTAAGCCACTCCAGGACCTTAATGTGCTTCTTCTTGAGCCACTCCTTTGTTGCCTTGGCCGTGTGTTTTGGGTCATTGTCATGCTGGAATACCCATCCACGACCCATTTTCAGTGCCCTGGCTGAGGGAAGGAGGTTCTCAGCCAAGATTTGACGGTACATAGCCCCATCCATCGTCCCTTTGATGAAGTTGTCCTGTCCCCTTAGCAGAAAAACACCCCCAAAGCATAATGTTTCCACCTCCATGTTTGACGGTGGGGATGGTGTTTTTGGGGTCATAGGCAGCATTCCTCCTCCTCCAAACACGGCGAGTTGAGTTTATGCAAAAGAGCTCCATTTTGGTCTCATCTGATCACAACACTTTCACCCAGTTGTCCTCTGAATCATTCAGATGTTCATTGGCAAACTTCAGACGGGCATGTATATGTGCTTTCTTGAGCAGGGGGACCTTGCGGGCGCTGCAGGATTTCAGTCCTTCACGGCGTAGTGTGTTACCAATTGTTTTCTTGGTGACTATGGTCCCAGCTGCCTTGAGATCATTGACAAGATCCTCCCGTGTAGTTCTGGGCTGATTCATCACCGTTCTCATGATCAATTCAACTCCACGAAGTTAGATCTTGCATGGAGTCCCAGGCCGAGGGAGATTGACAGTTCTTTTGTGTTTCTTCCATTTGCGAATAATCGCACCAACTGTTGTCACCTGCTCACCAAGCTGCTTGGCAATGATCTTGTAGCCCATTCCAGCCTTCTGTAGGTCTACAATCTCATCCCTGACATCCTTGGAGAGCTCTTTGGTCTTGGCCATGATGAAGAGTTTGGAATCTGATTGATTGATTGCTTCTGTGGACAGGTGTCTTTTATACAGGTAACAAGCTGAGATTAGGAGCACTCCCTTTAAGAGTGTGCTCCTAATCTCAGCTCGTTACCTGTATAAAAGACACCTGGGATCCAGAAATCTTTCTGATTGAGAGGGGGTCAAATACTTACTTCTCTCATTAAAATGCAAATCAATTTATAACATTTTTGACGTGCATTTTCTGGATTTTTTGTTGTTGTTATTCTGTCTCTCACTGTTCAAATAAACCTACCATTAAAATTATAGACTGATCATTTCTTTGTCAGTGGGCAAACGTACAAAATCAGCAGGGGAGCAAATCCTTTTTTCCCTCACTGTAGCAGAATAAGATGAGCACGCGAAGACACGATTTTCTTGCCAGGATTTGTTTGCGCGCCACCGTGACCAATTATTTATCCGAATGATCATTAGGAATCTGACATCAGCGCGACAGGGGAGGTCGGCAACAGAGAGTCAAGAGGGCCAGTAAAGCGATGGGTAACGCGAGTGTGAGAACAATCTCCCATTCCTGGATGTTCAGGTACATCCACAAGTTAAATCGCGAGTTGAGGGGCTGCCGAGGCTTGGCACAGTCACCCTCTACTACGATACACTTAAATCTTGACTTAAAGCTTTCGTGACTGCAGGAATTCATATTCTTTGGGTCTTTCGGTAAAGTCACGTAGATAGGTTCAAATTTAATATTTTTTGTTATTTTCGTTGAACCTATCTACGTGACTTTACCAAAAGACCCAAAGAATATGATACACTTGTCCCAGCGGCCAACACTTATAGACTCGTCACTGAAGCTTCACTTTGGAGTCAACACCACTCCTGGGCGGTGAACCCGATGTTCCAGAACATTCCATCCAGGAGTTACCAACAAGTATATCGTTGCACGTGCGAAATGTGGGAATGCATTGTCATGCTGAAGCACCACTCTCACAAAGAGTCCACGACATTTTTGGCTGCATAGCAAATCAAGCTCTCAGCACAATCGATGCTTTCCAGAATTCAGGCATCGATTGGCCTACTGCTTCTGTCATTGTTCATTCCATCCATTTGTCAATATTAACCACAATTCATAATTTACTCTTGTATTGTCCAGATTATAAGACGGTGTCAATAAAGTTGTATAAATCTGGTCACACACACACACATACTCGATTATAAGAAGCAGCCCCAATTTTTTGCTTTAAAATATTGGGAAATGGGGGTGCTTGTCATATAATCTGGAGGGTGTCCCCATTTCTGACATGATACAATAACTCAAGTGAACTCGTTGTCACCTCTTGATAGACTAATGCCCCAGGTTACACTTGTGTAAAGGAGACTATTCTGGTCTCTTGAGTGTCCATCTGGTTCAACAAAATAAACTTGAGCCTTGCACTTGATCATCCATTTAGTGGTCAAATCTTCGAAAACATACTGCATATAAGTACCAGGATTATGCTCGTATTTA